CAGATGAAAGAGTGATCAACTCAGTCATGGTTGCCATAAAGATGGGGATAACTGTACTGCAAAACCCTTTCTTATACTTCAGAGACCATTTTACAAACAGTTAGACTACGACATGGTATATCTATCATCTATAGTCAGATTTCAACACAATAAGAAACGTGTCATAACGAAGAAGAAATAAAACAGAGAGTCTCGTTTCTTTAGGTGGGATTGCGACGACAAAAAAGACGAGCAATTTCTCAGTAGATAAAAGAAATCAAGAAAAGAAACTGGGCCATCGATCGTTTCTGAACAGATCTGAACGCGTTGCCAGGCGTCTAATATCGAGGACGAAAAGAACTGGAGAGGTTCGTTTCGTCCGGTGGGATTGAGGCGACAAGCAAGAACATCAAGATTTTCCCGACAGAGGGAGAAGCCAAGAGACGGTAACCGGGAAAAGGAAGGAAATCGATTACCTGGACGAAAGGAAGCGGAAGAACCTCATCGTTGTAGGAATTAGGGCACAGGGCGAGTGCGAGTTTCCCGAAAGCGTGAGAACGATGGAGACACGAACAAGGGCGGCAAACGAAGTTATAGGGTCTAAGATCGATCCTGGCCGTCCGATCCCGTTCGACGAACTAATACCTGGAAATATTCGGGAGCGGGAAAAAGGTCGTGGGAATAATAATTAATGGGTATGTTAGACAAGGCGTGCGATTTTCGAGACAGGGAACACGGTTCGATCGCTAAAAAGAGAGGTGGGCCCCGAATAACATGGCTGACGTCATCCACCACAACGCCATCTGAAGAGTGGTACATTCAGTTCCCTGGCTCGGCCAAAACAGGTGAACCAAAAAAGGCACTCCTCATTCGAACACAAATAAATTGGCCGCCACGCATGAACTGATCTGATCCGATCAGCATCAGACATGATCTGACGACCCAAATAGCAGTGGCTCAATTTGATCGAGATCGACCCGATTGGAACACAAATACGTAATTTTCAAATGTGTCGAAAATCGTCTTTTTTTTATTTTACTTCTTCCATCCAAAATATTTCTAGGCAAGCAAAGATCTTAAATAATATTTTTTTTTTTAGGAGAATTATTCCCTACCAAGTACCTAAATGATGGAGAAACTTATGTACTCGGAAATATCTACAGTCAACAATGAAATATCTAATCATAAGTCTTATGTTAAATCAAATGGTTTAGACATTCTCTAGGAACAAAACATAGATTGGAACCTCAAAGAAAATGTTTTAGTAGCAATTTTAGTGCAGACAAGAAAAAAAAATTACATCAGATAATATGCATGAACACAACCAGTAACAAATTTAACATTCTAGTTCAATTGATACATGTATGTGGCAGTAGATACATAACATCCCCAGTTTGATATTAATGTGTATGAAAGTATCATAAGAGGCAACATTGGCAAGTCTTTAACTTAATAAATCAGATAAAAAGCAATAATGCAGTATCATAATGATTTAGATATATACAAATTCCATTTGATGGTGAGGAAGGAAAATAAAAAGGAGACAACAGAAGACATAGTGACTGACTTCCATCAACCTCCATTCAAATTCCTTATCCCTTCTACACAAGTTATTTTTGACTCTTCCTGCAAGGATCAGCCTAGCTATCAAGACCATGACCCAGAAAATAACATGGGAGCCCTAAATTGATGCACCATCCCTATCCATCTTTTTGGTTGCTTATGTTAGCAGCACGAAACAGTGTGACCAGTTTGGTAGCAGCTTCGGCAAAAGAACAAACATGGTCTACTTAAGCTTACAATCTGACGGCCAGACTATACCGAAGAACAAAATATGCAGATTCATACTCGTAGATGGAGTCAGCAATCCTAATCAGCAACTCAAGTTTGATCTTCCTGGTTGTTTCCCGTGGCATCAGCATCGGCTGCGGCTTTCTTGGACCTGATGACCTCACCAACAGCTGGAAGCTTCACCCTGGGAGTCAGCCTTTTGGCCTCCTCACATGTGTAGATGTATATTTTTCTCGCCATGCTGCAGAACTCACTGCAAGTGCATGAAATCCAATCATAATAAATATGACACACTGAGACACTACGACAAAGAATGATCAATTAACTAGTCACAGATTGATAACTGAAGATCTCATTTTCTAGGAACTTTCTCATAGTTTAGTACAAGGGAATGGTTTTAGAGACTTACTGCCAGGGGTCATCACCAACCATCATCATGTCATCCTCGTCATCTGTGTAGACTACCTCCCATTTTTTGACCACACTGGAAAGCTCTCCCTCAATATCGAACATCTCTTCCAGTTTCTGAAGGAGCGCATCATATCCATATAATCTAGTCAAATCCACTGCCCTCCCAACTGCCATTCCTTGCATGTGAACCTGCAGAAAAGTAAAAGGATCATTATGGTACATTTTGAATGTCAGACATTCTTTTTGCAGAAATTAACTGCTTCCAACATCAATGTACTAGAGTATTACTACAAATATTCAGATCACTGAAGCTATGGTGATCAGAGAAGCAACCGGGAAGAAAAAAGTAACTTATAATGACCTTGATGCAGCTCCTCAATAGCCGACTTTGGTACTCTTGGGCTGACCTTAAGCATGACTTCTCTGGCTCATTGCTGCCTGCAGGAGTGTCAGACCTTTTG